TATGAAGAAGTAAGAATGATTGGAAAATGATCGCTGTCATGTAAGTCCGGTAGAACAGACCAGGCGAAGTCTAGTGCAGTGGAGGAAGCGCAGACCGATAGATCGATGCAAGAGAGAAAGAGTAAGAGTACGAGGATCAAAATGGGTGAGAGTATCCGTATTTAAAACATGGAAGGGGTGAGAGGTGAGAAAAGCCTCCAATTGGATGCCACGCAAGTCACAATGAAACCCCCCCCGAGGAAATGGTGGGCATTAAAATCGCCAAGTAACAGAAGTGGTGGTGGTAAGGATGAAACAAGAAAGGCAAAATCTGGGATAGAAAATGTCCAAGGAGAGAGATATAAAGAACATATTGTAAACCACTTATTCAAGTGGATACGGGCTGCGGTGTAATGCAGTGAGGTATGGACAAATAGTTGACAGTACAGAATATCATTGCGTAGAAGGACACTTTCATTAAAGGTCCCATCTGAGAAAGGATCCGAAGAATACAATAAATCATAGCCTGAGATAGGTTGGAAAACAGCTGAGTGTAATTTTGGTTCTTGTAAGCAAACACCAACAGGGGAAAACCTGGAAAGCAACATCTGAAGCTCATCCCGATTACCTGAGGCCGCGGATATTCCACTGTAAATGGGCCATGATTGGCAATGAGGAAAATACCAGGAATCCGTAGGGAAAGGGTACCTACGGACTAGAGGGGTTAGAAAAGTCAACATGTGGTGGCATCGGAAGACGTTCAAGCAGTGAAGGAATGGAGAGTTGCGAAGAATGGAGTTGTGGAGATGGAGGAGAGGGAAGAGAAGGAACAGGAGGTGGATCAGTGTCCATTGAAGGTTTAGTCTCTGCAATATATTCTGAAATAGCGTCAAGTGTTTCTGAATTCAAAGACATTGTATGGGAGACAATATTGGAGATAGCAGGAGGAGGATGAGTAAAGATTGGGACAGTAATGGACTGTACTAAAGTAGGGGGGATGAAAGCGTGTTGGGAACTGGAGAAGAAGTGTGGGAGGGGACAGAAGAGGCAGAAACCTGGGAGGCGGCAGTAGAGGGAGAGACTCGGGAGGGGACAGGGGAGGGAGGCACAGAACGAGGTGGGGGATGAACCTCCACACTTGTAATAGAGCCAGTGAGAGGGGAAGAACCAAGTGCAGAGACTGGAAAGGTAAAATGTGGGGGCAGAAGAAGGGGGCAAGGAAGATTTGAGCAAAGGGGATTTTTTTTTGACTTCTGAGAAGTAGAGGGGCAACTGGCAGAAGGTGTCGTACGAGATCTTGTTGATACCGGGGCTTGTGAGTGAGAACTCGAAGATGTCAGAACAGACTGAGGTGTTCAAGTAGGGACGTCTGAGCCCAGGACAGCAAAAGAATTAGATACAGAAGTTACTATGGGAGGGGTAACAACAGAGGAGGCTGCAGAAGATGGGACCCCAGAAGTGGGAGGACGTTTTGAAACATGAGAACAAGAAACACGGGGTAGTCTCCCTTGGAGGTGGAGATGAGAAACTGCCATAGCATAAAGGAGACCTTCTGCTTCTTTGAGGCAACGGATTTCACACTCATTCAAGTAGACCTGGCAATGGCGAGAGTACGAAGGGCGAGCCTCACAACAATTAAGGAAAGAGGGAGGTCGACTGCAAGACGTATTAGAATGGTCGTCGGCACCACAGACTGGGCATTCAGCTATAGATCTGCAATATTTCGCTGGGTGACCAAAACGCCAGCAATTTCTACACTGTTGCGGTGTAGGGATCACCTTTTGAACTTGTAACCGATGTCCTGTGACATAAACAGAGGACAGGAGTTCACAGCTGTCGAAAGTTAATCGAGCCACATTGCAAGGGTATCGTCTCCACCCGCGGGCAGGAAGGACATAAGTGTCTACTTTGAGGATTGGGAGATCCTAGAGTTCCAGCTGTTCAAGAATGTCGTTGCCACATGTCTGGAAATTCTGTTGGACTATGGTATGGGGCAGAATGACAGTACCACTACAAGAATTGAGAGAAAGATGTTTTTCAATAGTGATAGTAGTAGTATTGATATGAGAAAGGAGAGAAAGATCATGAGCTTGGGTAGCATTCTGGACAGTGACGATGCGTGTACCGCTCGAGAGCATGAAATGAAATATCACTACCAACATATTATTATAATCAAAAAGAAGCGCTAAGCCACAAGGGCTATACAGCGACTACCAACATAGCATAGGAGCGCTTTGCCAATACTATGGTCGGAAAGATAGGCAGTAGAAGAAGTCGGTCTTAAAGTAAAGAATTTAGTCCATTGTGTGGTCCGAAACCGAGCGTGGAGAGGGAGTGCATGTGTCGGTCTTTTCCGAGTAGAATGGGAAGGTAACAAAGTAGCATCATCAGGAGATTAATCGTTGGCGTTTAGGAGTGGGACCAGAGTTGGTCCGACGTGAAACGGGCTGGCGATTCGAAAATTGCACCACCGTAGAGGGAGAGGCCAGAAGCATAGTCAAAGAAGAGCGGAGGTCAGACAAATTGAAGGAGTCAGTCGAAATCCTGGTACCTGAAGCAGGCGAGGAAACAGCACCAGCAAGAAGTACAGGGGCAGCAGGAGTGTCCGAAGAGTGGTCAAAAAACGAGGCAGGGTCAGAATGGGGTGCAGTATCAAGAAGGGGCCCGGGGGTAGTAGGTTCATGGACTGGGTTCTCCTTGGTTAGGTTACTTCTTTTCTTTTTAAGAAAAAAAAAATAAAAATAAAAAAAAAAAGGGGGGAGCAGGGAGGAATAGTTCCCAGGAGGAATGAAAGGGCCGGAAATCTCCCTCCGCGCCCAAGAGGACCTCAGCACCGCAAGTAGCGCAGATGCAGCATGGAACCTGTGACATACTCTACCCTTCATGCCAGTAAACCAGCAATCCGGAATAGCAACCTCACATCTGCCGAGCTACCTCGGTGGACAAAAGAGGGCGGCCGGATATCCGCCACAAAGCATACCTCCTTCGGCCACCACCCCTGGAATCGAAAAGGTGGCTTCCAGAGATACACCCGTCGCCCAAAAGACACCCAAAGCCACTCTCCGGGATACCAGAGAGGGATCGGGACATCCCCAGGCGATCTAGATTCCACGGCAAACTATGCCACCGCCAAGAACCTCAACGGAATGAGATGGACCCCGGTACCCTTTCCCCTACCTAGGAACTAGTGCGCCTGTGGAAAAAACCCAAAGGCCAAAAAGAGGAAGGGCAAAAGGGAGGGGTAGGGAGGAGGAGGAGGAAAGGAAAAAGGGGAGGATGGGATAGGGAAGGGGGATTGGGGGGTAATTAGGTTCGGTCTAAGGAAGGAGGCTGACAGGTCTAATTCCTCAGATCAAGAGGCTCTTCACCATGCCAAGGAGCATCCTTTGAAGAGGTTGCCAGGAGAAGGCTTTGAAGATATGCAGGAAAATGTCAACGAACTGTTGGATGACAAGGAGGCAAGAAGTCCAGAGGAAATGTTGGCCCAGTTCCAAGGGAAACAGATAACAGAGGAAGAAGTTGAAGTAAAACTTCTAACATTGAACCAGTTACATAAGCAATTCCATGTTGCTGCTAAACTAGAAGACTTTCACTGAGGAGGACCCTGACAAATCTAGCAGCACTGCTATGAAATGGGGTCTAGAGCAAGTGATGCCTTATGGTCTGCTATTTGAAGTACTACAGGGTGAAAAGAGACCACACACACATAACAGAATTTCTCAGTACTGCAGTATAACCACTGATATCAGCATAAGAGCTTCAACCATCTACCTCAGCTAATGATCCACATCATCCCTCTCCATTCATTTATCAAAATCATTGACATGCACCAGCAGCCAAAATTTAAGGTAGGAAGTAATATTTATGCAATCTTTGAAGCCATAATTATTTTATTAAATATAACTCATAACTGCATCCACATATAATTACGTTTTCATTGCTTTTTACAGTTTCAAGAGCCATAATTTTTTTTTCAAGTAATGAACATAACCCTATTTTCCCAACGTGTTCAATTCAGTTTACGCACCGTTTTCAGTAACGTAACTACCATGTTACCAGACCATTAACCGTTTTCTGAATTCGGTCTAAATTATGTGAACAGCTTAAGTACGCTATTTTGAATTGAAGTTTTCCAGAGATAATACACCTACCATCCAACTTACAACCGAGTTCGGTTCCGAGAAACCGGTCGTAAGTCGAAATGGACGCAAGTCGAACTTTACTACTGAATATCAACATCACATTTTTGTAATGACTATTTTATTGTTTTCTTTAGGTATTTCATGTTTTACTTTACTTTTTATGCTGTTAGTACTGTATTTTATACTGTAAGATTTAGGATAAACACTGTGTACAACACAAATAGTTGTTTATTTCCCAGAAATTTGGCAAAGAAAAAAACGGTCGTAAGTCGAGTGGTCGTAAGTCGAGCAGGTTGTAAGTCGGATGGTTGGTGTATTTGTTTATAATTACTGTTACAGAACCTTTCCCTGTTCAACACTTTCAGTATTTTATAAAAATCAATATTCTTTAATTTTAATCATGGGGAGGCACTAAACCCATAGGGGTGATACAGTGCCGGGGAGGAATCTGGTTTGATTCAAGGGGAAACTAACTCCAGCTCTTTGGATCAAGAGCCCCTTACTAGCATCAAGGCACCTAGCTCCTTTGAGTGTTCTCCCACCTCAATTATATAAAATTCCAACCTGCCATTGTTTGCTCAGCCTAAGAGTCTTCTTGTATGAATTTGCAAAAATTTATACTATGCAGCAATACTTATTTTCCATAGGACTTTAGAATCAGGAGCAGACATTCATAAATTTCTGTATTCCTTCTTGTAAACTATTTATATAATTTAGCAACATGCTTGTGGAACATTCCCCAGGATATTTTTCCTCATATTGTTCACTGTTTGCATTTTCCTTTCCAACACGATCTTGATAATTTTAATAGTTTTTACCTTTAATTTCCCTTATGCATTTTTCAAAATAATCTTTCATGGGGAACATTATAAAAACTGCTTTAAAAATAAATTATTATTATAATCAAATAATTGCTAAGCCCACAACAGATGCATTAAATAAATATAATCTGCATATACACCTGTCAATTTTTTCCACCAAGTGTGGGCAAGTTTCTAGTTCAAATCCATTTGCCCTGAAGTTAACCTTATTGTAATGAAATGATAAAATTCCTGAGAGGATACCTTAATTCCTTAGTATATTTTTACAAGCTTACAATATTGCTTTCTCTAGCCTTATTTCCTTGTCACTAACAAACTTTTGTACTACTCTGGTTGTTTTACTGGCATCCATTTAAACTAGCTGTTGATTTAGTAGTGTTTTTTCCTGCCATACTTCAGTCTTTATATTTTGTCTTTCACATCCACCCTTATCAGAAGCTGTTATTTTGCACTTGTCTATCATTTCTGTCAGTTTCTTTCTTCCTCTCTCAAGACAGATTTGTATACTTATTTCTAGATTGTCTGAATCTAGCAAATTTCTGGTTTTGCTGACTTTTTTTATACATATTAGTTTAAATTCTTTTTTCATGTCTCTTCAGCATCTTCCTATAAACAAAATCATACCAAGTGTGAATTGACAGTTTAATTTGAAACCTATTTCTACTGAAAAATCTTTCCAACAAAACATGATATAAAAGTTCACTTATACCAATAATATTTAATAATGGCAGAGGGGAAAATAAATCAAAGAAAGTATGTAGCCACTTTCATATGCCCATTTTCTGCTCTTAACATTCTTGTATTTTCCTGAGGTAGTACAGTACAAAAAAGGAAAACAGAAATCATTGGTAGCTAACATAAGCAAAAGTGAATAATCTATAAAGTCAGTTAGTTCTTTGTGCATCTGTAGGAAATATACATTGCTATTACAGAAACTTTAATATACCAATAAAAAGATTTATTTCCATGTTCTTTTGTGGAGTTATTTTGTACCTTTCACATAAAAGACAGCTTCAATATATTGATGTAACTGTGATGCAATGTTATTCAATTTAAAAGACAAAATTTATTTCGAAAAATAATCAATCAATTTTTGATTAATGAAAATGTGTCTATGTACATTGTCTTATTAAACATGAATCTTGCAAGGCTTGGTACACATTGTTCATGCTGTTTATTTGAAAATGAACCACAGCATATAGATACTGCAAGTAGATGGCTGAGAATTAATGTCATTGTCTGACCAACGCTACTGTACATGTGTGTATAATGCATACAAACTGAAAAGTGGTAAATTAACTACAATACTTGATAATTAAGGGCACAGGAAGTATAATCACTCATGCAATAAACAGCTTATCAATCTTTCTGAAAACATAAGTCAAATGATGGAGGTAGAATGTTTACAGGAATAAAATCTGATTTTGCAACTAACACTCCAAATTATATTCACTGTGTTACTTCATCAAAAGCAACATCAAACTGCAATAAAACTTCACCAATACACACAAAAAAATAATCCTTTGCTATGGCCATGACTAACATTTTAAAGATTTCCACAATAAAAAATAAAACTTTTATTACCAAACAATATCAAAATAATTAATATCAAAGACATGAATTATTCTTCAAACAACTGTGGAACATACTCAAAAGTTAACACAATGACAAACAAGGGATTGGTGTACATACAAGGGGACTCAAATACAAGTGGAATTTTCATCTTAAAATTGCTGTACAAATAAATATACAGGAATATTCATGTTCTTATCAAACAGCACTAATCACATTTACTTATCATTTATTAGTTTTACAAACATGACATGGAAACTGTAATAATTTTCTTGGCACATGACAGAAAAATATCTCGTGAAGTTTTTGTTTTTATTAACAAGAGCAGACATTCGGATTAAAATGTGTAAAAACTCAAGAGAGTTTACTGAGATTTACCTCAATGTTATTGACCACTATACAGTATTCCCAGTAGGTGAATAGGTATATAACTGGAGGGTGAAAAAGTGTAAAGCCTCCGAGCTTGTTATCAATAAACTACCTCATCAATTTCAGGAATATATTTGACCAAAAGCAAAAAAAGAAAAATAATCCTTTAAAGCTTTACTTCTCGGAGTATCCCACTGTCGTAATCTTAAAGGAGAGCAAGATTTACAATACATTTAATGACGTACCCCTATAAAAAATAGGTATATTCAGAGCTTGGTAGAATTTTCAATTATATGATTCCCACTTGCACAATTTATATTGTGCTCAAGTTTTAAATTGTAGTAGCTATTATAATGTTTAATTTCATTATACTGCAAGTGATTTTCACTTGTTTTACTGGCTGGAAACTCAAGCAATGTAAACAAAATATAAGTATTCAACATGAATGACTTTTTTTTTTTTTTTGGCAATGGATGGTGTGCTGGAGGACCTGAGTAAGCATTACTGGCAGTGAAACTTTTCTAGTAGATCTTCTTGCTCACTCTCTGATGCTAGGTTCTATTTCTCCACCCACCCCTTAAAACTTTATGAAGCTCCACAAAGTAACTTTTGTTGATACAGTATTCAAATTATCTAATAAAACTATCAAAATCAAAATATAAAACTTAACAGGAAGTACCCCAGTTAGATAATTTACGTATGTATTTCAAAACAATGAATGACTAAAGGCAGTGAAAACAGGCACATGAAATTAAGATGCTATTTGAAATATCAGAGTCACATTGACTATGAATACATAAAATTAACCAATCTTACACTTTATCTACAAACATCACTTCAAAGAAGAGTGAAACATAAGTGTATGCAGAAAAAAGCATAAAACTTATTATTATTATTATTAACTGTATTAACATCATTACATTCTTTCACACACTCCTTCATGACTGTTTGGGCAGTACTCACGATAAACACCCTAGTCAATCAAGACACCCAATATATTCCTGTTGTACACTAATACTATATCAGGCATCATTCTTGCACTTTTCTGGCACTCACTGAACATCTGAAATAATTTTTAGTGATAAAGTATTACTATGTAGATATGGAAAAGAAAATGTGAAACTACTATCTGTGGTAAAAGCATCACATAGGAGTGAGTGCATCAAGAACATAACAATTGACTTGAGTGCATCTCCTGAATATAGTCCTACATCATCTTGGAATCGCAATGTGCAGTTATGTTGTGAAGCTAGGCAAGGGTATTTTGCATGTATTAACATTTTGAATAAGGTTTACATTACTTGATAACCTCATACAAATCTAAGCTATCACAATGCTCCACACTGCAACCCTAGAATGAAAGTCTTGTCTGGAAGGGGAAAGCATTAGGACTATCACATATGAAACTAGCACATCTGACTGCAAAAATATTTGTGGCAAGATCAAGGACTCATGAACCATAGGTGGAGCCTCAGGAATGATCAACATTTTACCAATATCTTAATTATCTAGGACTTAGAAAAAATATTACCAATTATGATACTTATACACTGAATTAGAACTTTTTCATCCACATGATAAATTTCTTGGGAAGAACTAGGTTAACTACTCTTGCTATCATAATCTATATTAACCAAAACCTGGTTTTTAAGTCTTTATCAAGGGTCCAATTACTACTTAAAATCTATTTCATCATAGACATAAATAAGTCAATCAAAACTTATTGCTTGACCAAAGTTTATCAAAAATCACAGATTTTCTTTTGAAATCACTGTAAAATACACAGATAAGTGTATAATTAAAAAAATAATCTTGATCTTCACTCACTGAAGTTACACCTCTGATGCCGAATCCTTAAGCTTGACCTATTTGTTGAATGCTTCTGCACATTTTGCATAAACTGTATCATCAGCACATCAACACTTTGAGGGTTTGTGTTTTTATCGCTGGGTTGGAGGGTCGTATCACTTTATGCAACCCTAGGTGCAACAGTCATTACTGTAGGCATCATTATCCTGAAAAAGAGGAGGATGATGATTATTATATTAACTCAAATAATAAAAGGAAAACATACACTATCTATAATTTGTTGCATTTCATAATACTTAACAAAATATGAAGATGAATACTGTACTGTGCAGAGAAGTCTGCTATATAAATCACTTACAGTGAACATGTACAGATACAATATTCATGTCAACTGCTGATAAACAAATTATATTTCAAAATCTAAATTAGAATAATGAACAAGTTTGATAAATGTATGATAGTAATGTTACAATGGAATTTTGGATCAATACTGAAACTATACTCTTGTGAGGTGGAAAAGCACTACTAATACATGAGCACCAACACCAAGTCAAAACACCCATGCGGGGAGAACACAGGGGATATAAGACTAGTGAGCTAAAAATTGGTTTATTTTACACAAACTTACTGGTTAAAAGGACACACATTCAAAACAAGACCATTTTTTTATAGCATTTAACTTACACGAGGCTTTATAAAGCTTCATGTAGGAGAAATGTAATATATATATTTTTTTTTTTGCTATGTGTCTTTTTATTCATTTGTCAGCTATGCCATACTCCAACTACAAACTTTACTACAAACATGTGAACACACACTCAAAAACTTACAAGCTACTGTGTCCTCGTAGGAGGAAAAGGGGGGAAGCTATAAATATAACTCTTTCTACAAAAAAAATGTCCATGCATCAAGGAAGGTAGGTAGTTTGCTTTCTCTTTCTCTATCACTTGATGGCATTAAAACAATGACCAAATTAAAATAAACAGGATGGGCTGAATATATTAAATTCCTTAAAAGAATAAATAAATTATTATTCTTTTATAGTATTTAATAGAAAAATACTGACAAACCATATCGAGGATAAAAATATGATTACAAGGTAGAGTACATGTCAACCACCATGATGAGATATACAATCAAAACCTAATATATTTAATTTCCAGTCCAAACATCTTACCTCGAAGTAGGTAAATTATTTTCTATAAATTAATAAATAGAATATACTGTTATGGTAATATGAAATAAGCCTAAAGTTATGATGATCAATAATTGACTAGTACAAGTCTTTATACAAAATATGCTTTAGGAATGAACTCAGAGAATATCTCCAGACACTGCTCCATGAAACATTTTAACACACCAGCCATCTCCCATTGAGATACGGAGACCCCAAAAAAAAAAAAAGTACTAGTACCACAAATTACACGAGATGTATGCTCATTACCTTGCCTAATTGTGTGGCTGATTTCTAAATACAGGCAACCATGACTCTCTAATCCAACCCACATGGTTCTCAACAGTATTTCCAGTTGTATCATTCATTTAATTTTGTGAGATCAAATCACAACCATTGAGGTTCAAATAATGAATTGAAAGAATCATGGTTGCCAAAAATAAAGTGCTATATATCAGCAGTCATCATCATAATTCATTTTGGTCTGGTACTCTGATTTTATATGAACAACATTCCTAATATATTAAAGCTTTTTTTTTTTTTGCTATCTCCTGTACACTTTGGTCCTAAAAAATGATTTTCCTAAAGACATATACAGCAGATTGATCAGTTTTTTTATGAGTACTAACAACTAATTACATTACATGAATTATTTCACATCTATTTACATATCAATGATTATAATATAAATGCATACATTATGAAAAAAGATTTGAGTTTTACATACAGTATAACCCCCGTATCCATAGATTTGGTTTCTGTGGTTTTAGTTATCTACACCTTGCCTCCTCCCAAAAAATATTAAGGAGGTTAAATCTGACTTTCCAAATATTTGTTTTGTTCGATTCCATTAGTTTTTTACTGTTTAATAATGAAAAATGGACCCGACAACAAACGGGCTTATACTGGTACTGTAAAGGTCAGCAGTTGTAGCAACAGCAGTAGCTGCAGCAACGGCAAGAGCAGTGGTAGCTGCAGCAATGGCAAGAGCAGTGGTAGCTGCAGCAATGGCAAGAGCAGCGGTAAGAGCAGCCGTAGTTGCAGCAGCGGCAAGAGCAGCTGTAGCAAGAGCAAGAGCAGCAGTAACTGTAGCAAGAGCAAGAGCAGCAGTAGCTGCAGCAACGACAAAAGCAGCGGTAACCGCAGCAACGACAAGAGCAGCGGTAGCTGCAGCAATGGCAAGAGCAGCAGTAGCTGCAGCAACGGCAAGAGCAGCGGTAGCTGCAGCAATGGCAAGAGCAGCAGTAGCTGCAGCAACAGCAACTTCAGCAAGAGCAAGAGCAGCGGTAGCTGCAGCAAGAGCAAGAGCAGCCATAGCTGCAGCAAGAGCAAGAGCAGCCGTAGCTGCAGCAAGAGCAAGAGCAGCCGTAGCTGCAGCAAGAGCAAGAGCAGCCGTAGCTGCAGCAAGAGCAAGAGCAGCCGTAGCTGCAGCAACAGCAAGAGCAGCCGTAGCTACAGCAAGAGCAGCCGTAGCTGCAGCAAGAGCAAGAGCAGCAGTAGTAACAACAGCAGAAGTTGCTGGTAGAATCAAGTCAGTTGCATCCCTCTTCACTGATGATGCTAATCTAATGTGAGCTGAACACAAGAGAAACATATGTATTTAAAATGCCAATACACAGGTATGAAATACTTATAAATCTGACTGCCCAACCAAAACACTGACACTATAAACACCACCACTACTACTGCAGCAGCACCAATAACTGCTACAGCTGCAGTAGTAGTAGTAGTAGTGGTGGTGGTGGTAGTGTTTTGGGTGGGTGGTCGGATTTATACGTACAGTGGAACCTTGACTACTGACAAGTGTCCCAACGTACGAGTTAAGAACATAAGAAAGAAGGAATACTGCAACAGGCCTACTGACCCATGCGGAGCAGGTCCATGTCCCCCCCCGGATTAGACCAATGACCCACCCAGTCTGGTCACCTCCAGTCAAGGATGGAGCACTGCACCAGACCCAGCAGCATAAGCTAGTCAGGTCCAACTCTCGCCCACTCATAAGAACATAAGAAGGAACACTGCAACAGGCCTACTGACTCATGCGGAGCAGGTCCGTGTCCTCCCCCCTCGCATTAACCCAATGACCCCCCCCCTCGGATTAGCCCAATGACCCACCCAGTCTGGTCACCTCCACTCAAGGAAGGAGCATGACGCCAGACCCAGCAGCACAAGCTAGTCAGGTCCAACTCGCACCCACCCACACCCACTCGTGTATTTATCTAACCTATTTTTAAAACTACACAACGTTTTAGCCTGAATAACTGTACTGAATAACTGAGATTCGAGCTGCCGCTTAGTCGATTTTTTGCTCTGAGTTACGAGCCAACATCCGGGTTATGAGCCAGCTCCCCCAGTTCCCCCTCGACCCAAAACCTGCACACCTCGCTTGTTTATCTATGATTTCATGCTTCAATTCCATGGAAATCATTCTCTTTTTCTTCTCAACACTGTCCTTTACACTTACTTTCTTAGGACCCATGCTTACAAAAATGAAATTTGGCCAAATGACTAAAAATGTAAGCAAAGCATGAGAGAAATACTCCTACACCGAGGTAAACAGTGCACTGAGCTGGTGGCGTTCTGAAGCTATCATTATTATTATACATGTAATATAATAATAATAATAATAATAATAATAATAATAATAATAATAATAATAATGGAGGGAGTGGAGGGAAGGCAGGGTAGGGGCCGGCCTAGGAAGGGTTGGAGGGAGGGAGTAAAGGAGGTTTTGTGTGCGAGGGGCTTGTACTTCCAGCAAGCATGTGCGAGCATATTTGATAGGAGTGAATAGAGACAAATGGTTTTTAATACTTGACATACTGTTGGAGTGTGAGCAAAGTAACATTTATGAAGGGATTCAGGGAAACCGGCAGGCCGGACTTGAGTCCTGGAGATGGGAAGTACAGTGTCTGCACTCTGAAGGAGGGGTGTTAATGTTGCAGTTTTATAACTGTAGTGTAAAGCAGCCTTCTGGCAAGACAGTGATGGAGTGAATGATGAGGAAAATTTTTCTTTTTCGGGACATCCTGCCTTGGTGGGAATCGGCCGATGTGTTAATAAAAAAAAATAATAATGTAATTAAAGCAAATTGTATCAGTTAAGTTCAGCAATCAAACAAAACAAATTGTATCATCACTCGTCATATTATGGCCTATTTTATTCATTCTAGAATATATGTTTCTCTGTTAATTATATTGTTTATGTCATATTAGATGAATTGTGATAGATAAATAAGCCGTCTAGTTGTTATATTGAAATATTTTTTCCTGCCGCTGGTACGGATTAATGGCATTTCAATTAATTTAAACGAGGAAAATTTATTTGATATACGTACATACAAGTAAATTGAGTTACGAGCTAGGTCACGAAACAGATTAAACTCGTAATTCAAGGTTCCACTGTATTTCATACACAAGTGGGAGTTGTCACAGTTGCTCTTTGCCGATAACACTGTGCTTTTGAGAGATTCTGAAGAGAGGTTGCAGAGGTAGGAAGGGTACATAAAAGAAAATTAACCCTTTCAAAGTCCGTGCCATAGTTCTACAGCTTTGAGTTGTGGGTCTAAACTGGAGAACTACGCCAAAATTCTAGCAGCCTCAAATTTAGCACGAGAAGGTTGGTAGGCCTACATCTAAGAGAACGGGTATGCGTGGTGTGCGCGCGCCGTAAAAAAAAATTTTTAGGTGCCCGCATGGCATTGTGGGAATGCCGCCTCAGTAAGCTTTGTTCACCATGCCTTGCGGCAAGGCAGCTCTCACTCCGAGGCAAATTGGGACTCCTCTTCCTAACTGATAGTTCTAACTGTGATGGAAGTGGAAAAGAAGAGGAATTCTATGGCTTTGATCAATTAGTGACCAAAAGCAATGACCAGGATATCGAAAATAGTGCATAAAATCCTGACGATCCTCAACCTTCTACCTCCGGTGTGGGCACGTCTCAGTCACGTTCAGTTGTACCTCATCGTAAGAGAAAACTAATATTTTCGCGTGGCCAGGCTTCAGACTTGAGTAATGATGATGATAGTGATGT